ACACACACTCGCACACATACACACACACGCACGCACACACACACACACACACACACACACACACACAAACACACACTCGCTCAGGAGAAAGAGGAGCAGCTCCTAAAGGTCTCTGGCACTCTGAGGGTCTTATGAGAGACTGGCTTATTTTTAACCGTGTAAAGTGCAAAAAAGTTTCCAATCGAGGGTCTGGCAGCTCCCACCGGTGATATTTCAGTTCTCCTAACTAGGCCATTGAAAGTAGGATATTGCTGTCCTACAAACCACCCCACATCTCTCTCTCTCTCTCTTTCTCCAGTCTCGTGAGACATGAACCATTTTCCACCACCTGGTTGCCTGTTCTGGGCTCAGAGACGCAGCGAGACTGAGGGCCACCTCACGCAAACACGCGTCCTGGTCGCAGTCGTTCAGTGATAACCAGAGCAAACGGTGAGATGTGAGAGAAAAGGAAAGAGTGTTGATGACAATGCATTCGGATCGATGGAGAGTCCTTTTGATTCTCACTTGGACTTGAACCCAGTTTACCTTCTTAAATCTCTTGAAATTATCAAGCAGGTCAATTAAATAGGCTTTTTTTTTCCAATTTAAGACAAGGCAAGGCAAATTTATTTATATAGCACAATTGATACACAGTGGCAATTCAAAGTGCTTTACAAGAAACATTTCTGATTATTATCAATGTCACAGAAATGCATTTTTATTATTTTTTGGAAATTAATTGGAAAAAATTCACATTTTTTTTTTTTTTTATAAAAGTAGTGTTTTTAATTATTAATTAATAATTATAAATAATTATTTTATTAATGTCATGTAAAAAAGGTTACAAATTGATTCAATTATTATATAGTATTAATAACCATAAAATTCATAAGAAATCAAATATATATATATATATATATAATAAAAGTAAAAAATTAAGAAAAGACTTAAATCGTTTTTGTAGAGAATTTTGAAAAAAATAATGTAAAAAAAAAAATAATAATTTCAGCAATTTTGTGAATTTTGGAAATCTCATTTGCCATTATTAAACTGTATTTATTCCATCAGCATAAGCAAGTTTTTTTTACCCCATATAAATTCATGTTTCAATTCTATGTTTAAACAGTTTAACCCAAATCCAGATGTGTGCAGCACATTTTATGGAGCACCAGTTTCCTGATCCTGGAAGAGTAGACTACAATGCCGGCAGCTCTGACTCACATTCTGTAAGTACGTTTTCATTTAAAGGATTTGCCACTGACGATCTTTAAACTTTAAACCGCATAAACACATTTCATTACACCAAATACACAAAATAATGTTATTTTTAGCAGCATCATATGACCCCTTTAAAGGAAAACCATTTACCTTAAACTATCAACTAGCAACCAATATTACAATATTTTTTGTGTTTACACATAATAAATTTATTAAAAACAAGTCTTATCTCATGCACATTTAATTTTTTATATTGTTTTAAAATGGTTATACAGTAATTCTCGAAAATATTTTATTATAGGTATAGTTTATTATAGCTAAAATACTTAAAGTCAATTTAAATTAAAATGACTTAAAATAAAATAAACATTAACTGAAAAAAATAAAGGCAGCATTTCTCAAATTCATTTAGTTTAACTTGAAGTACTAAAATAACCAAAAACAAATAAACTAAACTAAAAAACTAAAATTACTTAAAATAAATGTTACCTGATATAAAATAAAATGTAACTTATTTATTTTAGCTGGTTGCTAAGGCAACATTTGTCATTTTAAGTTGAAGTACTAAAATTAATAAATTAACATTTATAAAAACTATATATTACAAAATTAAAAAAGACAACTAAAAATGTGACCCTCGACCACAAAACGAGTCTAAAGTGTCAATTTTTCGAAATTGAAAAATATCCATTGATGTATGGTTTGTTATGATAGGACAGTATTTGGCCGAGATACAACTATTTGAAAATCTGGAATCTGAGGGTGCAAAAAAATCTAAATATTGAGAAAATCATCTTTAAAGTTGTCCAAATTAAGTTCTTAGCAATGCATATTTACTTAAGTTTTGATATATTTACGGTAGGAAATTTACAAAATATCTTCAAGGAACATGATCTTTACTTAACATCCTAATGATTTTTGGCATAAAAGAAAAATCAATAATTTTGACCCATACAATGTATTTTTGGCTATTGCTACAAATATACCCCAGCGACTTGACAAAAAAACAAATGACAAAAACAATAAAATTACTAAAACTAACATTAATATGAAAACAAAATATAAAAATACAATCTAATTTGCAATAAAAAAAACTATAATAATATATCAATGATACTAATAATTCAAAATAATAATACAAATTCAAAAATAATAACTACAAAAATACAGTGCTGCAGATAGATTAATAAATATTAACACTTGATTTATTTTTGTACTGTTGATTCTCTTGCACTTTCCACATTGCACATAGTTTGAAAGCAGCGTATATTCTCACCTGATCTCGTAATCTCTCCGTCTCCTCCTGATACGCCGCCAGCTGTTTCTTCCACTGCTCCACGTTAGCGTTGGCCTCATGCAGCGCAGCCACGAGTTTAGCGTTACTGTCCTGTAAGGTGAAGAGCTCGGACTCCAGATTCATCTCACAGATCGAGCTGAAACACACAGAAACACTGACCACTTCAACCCATGCTGAGGTGTTTAGCCAGGAACCCTAACATGAGAATACAGTGATTCTGCACAGCAAACGCAACCAGTTTTCCCTTTAACTTAACTGAATATTATTTAATCAAAATGCAGTAGATCAATTATTGAAGCTTTAATGCTCTGTGCATCAAAGCAAGCATGCACTGTATAAAACAGTAAATGTATTACTTAGCAAATCCAATCAGATAATCCTAGCATGTGAAAATTCACTGCATTTATTTATGTTCACTATTCCAAGCAGATGTAATTTTTTTAAAAAGAGGGGACACTTTAAAAACATGTTTTCATAAAGGGTTAAACAACAGCAAAACTGAAACCAAATATAAAAGAAAATAAGATATTTAACATATGAAGTGATGATATATAAATAGATATATAAAGTGATGAAGAAATAAACTTCACAAGTCAACTGAGCATGTTTATCTGAACCCAGGCCTGAAATGACAAATGCATCATCAAATTGAAATTATCACCATGGCAACATAAATAATGTGCTTTCCCAGGCGTCAAAACTAAAACATTAAACCTTAATATTATATAATAACATTTAAAATATATATGTAAAAATAATAAAAATGACAAAAATTGAATAAAATGACAAAACATTCAAATGAAAATATAAATTAAATTTAGAAATAAAAATCTAAAAATAAAAATGAATTCAAAATAATAATAAAACTATAAAAGTAAATTTAAAAAATAATAAAATAACACTGTAGCCAACGAAGAAAATAATGAAACAGAGTACAGTGCATTAAAATTGTCCAGATGTGTACCGCTGTTTTCACATTTTGGTTGACAAATTGTATCAAAAAAGCAAACTACTAAAGTTTTCAGAACAGCATCTCATCTGTAATTTCCTTTGACTGCAGAAAAGTGTGCAGCGTTTAGTGCATGAAATGTTTCCAGGAATCGCAGACGTAACTCTTGTGAAAATAGAGCGTCGCTCCATGCAAACACTCTTGACTGGTTACTTTCAGACGCTCTCCATAGCAACCCGGTTAGAAAAGAGTCCTGTGCTGATCGAACACAAGAGCAAACGGGTGAGAATTAAAGGAGCATGAGTGTGTTTATTACTCATCAGCACAGTGTCTCTCCTGACACAAGACACCAGAATGTCTCAGAGCATGGAAAAACACCTAAAATCCAGGTTCTGTTTGCAAAGAAAAGCTGAGTGTTGCTTGCTAGTGATGCACCAAAATTAATTTTGGATTTGTGGTACTGTAAAAAAAAATTAAAAGTTTTAATTTCAGGGATATTATATTCAACTAAAACTAAATTATTTTTTTTTTTAAATAAAAATAAACATTAACTGAAATAAAAAAATAAAAATTTCTCAATTTTAATTTAGTTTAACTTGATGTACTAAAATAAGTAAAATTGAAATAAAAATGAATAAAAACTACATAGACATAGGCCTGGGCGATAAAACGGTATCGATATTTACCGACGGTACACCTTCTTTGATAACGATATACAAATAGTTTGATATAGGCACATGCTATGAGTGACGAAGACAGCACACACAAACACGAACACATGCTGAAATGAGTGCTGTGCCTGCCTGTGATGAGGAGATTGTGAATAAAGAATGAATATTAGTCGAATTTAAAATAAACATTTGCATTTGAATGTTAGGAGTGCGTCAGGGAGCGTCATCAGTGGAGCACGAGATGCGGTGATAATGATGTAAGTGACGTTGTTGCATTTTAATGTTTTGTTAGTCTAGCCCACGAGACGCTCTTTTTCTATTGCTCTTTGTTTTAAAAAAGGTTATAAAAAATGTCAATAATTATCGATACCGAACGATACGAAACATTATATCGCTGATCCATTTTTTTTGCTATATCGCCCAGCCCTACATAGACATATTTAAAAAAACGACAAGCACACAACAAACTTACTAAAACCTAAATAGAACTAAAATTAAAATGAAAACAGAAAATATAAAAACAAAAACTGATTCCATATATTAATAAAAACTACAATAGTATCTCAATAATACTAAAATAACACTGTTCAATTTAGATGAAAACTGAAACCAAAAATACAGTGCATTTAATAATCAATTAATTAATAAAATGTATCTATTAATAAACACTGAATATTTAAACTGCACATAAGGCAGTTTTATATCAACATTTTAATGATATAATTATGTTTCTACTCCAATTCACGGTTGGAATTTAAATATTAAAACAGTGGCTGTAATAAAAACTTGTTTTCATGACAAATTTATTCAAAGAGGTTAAAATATAATGAATATGTAATATAGTGCATTTAACAAAATGCTCCTCTCTAGAGTTATTTTTTCTAGTTAACTAACAAGTTTATAGACGTCAAATGACTTTCATGAGGTAACTGTAACGTTACGTGAAGCAGTTTTATTGATGTCTTTTTTTTTTGGTAGAAACTGATTGATCGATTGCATGAGACTTGACATTTCAGTAAGTTGTACTCTTTCTTTCAACGCCCTCTGATGTTCATTCATGCTTATTTAATGCTCTAATTAAATGCCACTGCTTCGTTTAATGATTTCGGCCCTCTAAAACTGATCAGGCTTAACCAGAAATGCAGAAATGTCAATGCATCACTAGTTTGCATGTGCAAAATTCAGCGGCATGATGCAAGTGTGCTGGAGGTGGTTGCTATGCAGTTGCTAAGGTGTTCAGAACGGTTGCTACAACGACTCACATGGTAAAGAGGCCTGTAATCGTTGGCGTTCAGGAAAGCTGAATTTAGGGGCATTTTATGGGCTCTTTCAGGCAGGAAAAGGCCCATTATAGTGTGATAAATGGCTGTTACACACTTTCTTCTCCAATATTTTCCCACAAATGTGCAAAGGCGGACGTGCAGTCCGAAAACGCCGCTGATGCCTTACCCCTCTGAGAGCATCTTCTTAATGCGCTCCTTCTCCGAGGACAGAGTAATGTCAGCGCTCTGGCTCCGGAAGAGCTTGTCGTCCGGTCCGTTCACACACATCACTGGAGGAGACTGCAGCTCGTCAGTCAAGTCCTACAACACACACACACACACACACACACACACACACACACAGAGAACACTGCTGTTATCAGATGAATCCAGACATACTCACAGCTCAGCGTCCGTCTGACTCACTTCAAGATAAATCCTTTTAACTGACAACTGAGTGTTACACTAAAAAGCATAATTTACTACATTTCTAGTAAAATAAATACTATAAATAAATACTATAAATATATAATAATATAAAAACAGTGCCATCTGTAAATTGTGTGATGCAGTGAATTACTGTTGATACTGAACTTAGTCACATTATTCAATAGATGTGACTGTTTTTGTAAATGCAAACAAAATACTTTTATTTTAAAATGTTTTTTCATCATGTTGGCATATGATGAAAGTAATATGTCATAGGTTGCTGGATATGTCACAGGATACTAATATCACTTCATTATATTATTATCGTAGTAATATATTGCAATTTTAATGTCTGATTACAGGGTACAAAACTGAAACAAGGCAACAAAACTGTGATACTACCAGAATATAGTCAGTAATTTATAAAAATTCTAAGTATATACATTGCTTGTGTATACACACATTACATAATTCACAAATAATACATTATGTATATGAATTATCTATCATGCAATTTATATATAATATAAATTATATGAATATAAATATATACATGTAAATACATGTAAATATTTTCAAAATATATACTGTATGTTGTGTGTATTTATATATACATAATAAATATGACATATTATGTAAACAAAAACTTTTATTTTGGATGCGATTAATCGTTGCCCAGCACTAATATAAATTTACAGTAAATACAAAAATCCCTCTTTCTCTCTACATGCATATATAGAGCTGCATGGGTAAATATGATTTCTTTAAAGTTCATTACTAACCTTTTCAATGAAATTATATAAAAATACACATTTTCAAGTACAAATGGCACCATTGATAAATGACCCAGATTTCAGCAGGCAAGTTTGAAACGCATAATAAAGTCATTCTCAGTCTTATTATAGCAAACGGTGAGCAAATGCAACATAATGAGTGAATCGTATTGTTACAAATAGGCCAGCGGTAAAATTATCAAAACACAAGCTGTCTTTTCAGCTGTCATTCCAAATCCTTATTTTCACTTGGTCATTTTGCTCTATTTCAACATTGGCAGGTATGAAATATGATTGGTTTCTGGTGAAGGTGAACCCCGTCTGTGTCACGTGTGAAAATGACCTGATTTTGCTCCTGCAGTGGCAGATGATTCTACAGGGTTCACCGTGGGACTCGGCTGATTGTGGAGCTCGTGGGACACGTGATGTGTGTGTTAGAGTGTGATAAATCACAAACCCCCTTTAAACATCAACAGCGGCTGCTTATATTCCCACAAAACTCTGAATCGTGCCGCGGCGCTCATGCTGTGTGTGCGTGTGTGAATGTCAAACTCACCTGAGAGAACTGACAGCGTCCGGATTGAAAGCATTGAGAGAAAATGATAAAAGATACAGTCATTCCCATTATTTATCATGCGTGGGGGAGACCGGTGGCATTTTTACATGTTCATACATTTCTACAAATCTACCTGCCATCTTTTGGTATAAGAAACATTTAGTGCCATTCAATTAAAGACCAATAATATTGAATTTAATATAATATGTTATATGGGGGAACTATAACACTTCAAAATATATTTGTCAATTTATCTCAAATAAATATATAATTGGTTTAATACTTATAAACAGTACTTAAATTGAATGAAATAAATATTAAACCTATTTTATTTCAGCTAGTTGCCAAAGCAACTTTACTCATTTTCATTGAGTTTAATTTAATGTACTAAATTAACTTAATAGAAATACAAATTAATTAAAGTCATTAAAAAGTCATGTAAAATTAAAAAAACGAATTTCTAACTTTAAAAATTAAATTAAAATATAAAAATACAGAAAATACAAAAATAAAAACTAATTCAAAATATTAATAAATCTATAACAAAATCTCAATAATATTAAAATAACACTAAGTAGCTGTTAAATCAATACTTAAGTCTTCTACTACATACTTCAATGAAATGATGAATTATATGCTTTAAAAATATTTATATTAAATATTTATTTATTTTAATCTTCAATTATATAATGCATTATATATTTTAAATATATTTATTTAAATGTAATAATACATATTTATATATTTTACATATATAAGCAAACATATTACATAAATATATTTATATTAAAATAGTATATATTTTAAAGATTCAATCTTTTAATTCAGTCATATATTTTTTTATTTCATACCTAGAATTACAATTTCTCCTCAGCGAAACCTCAAGCATGAAATTAAAATCAACATTATCAAAACTTCAGACAGCAGGAAAAATACAGGGCATTCAAAACAATAAAAACTTTAATACCTCAAAATTATTTGATTGCTGAAATGACCTCACTTCATTTCCACCGACCTAGAGAACTCTACTGCATGTGCAAAATAAGTGTCACTCCGGTTTGATTGTGACTGAATAAATTCTCACAGTCAGTATTTGAGATTAACAACAGTATTTGCAACTCTCAAACTCTCTCTCTGTTCTCAAACTGTTCACACAACAGGAGCGAAACTGAATAAGTCTCTGACACAGAGTCCAAATCAAGCCTAAAATCTCTTTTAGGTAATAATAAACCAAACTCATGCTCAGAAATTAGTTGTGAATCTTGATCGTATCTAGATTTCAGGTGTCACTCTGGTTTATAACCGAAATGTGTGTGAATGCAACCATGTTTAACACTAAAATAGGGCTGACGAATGCATTCTGTTGCTGAAGCTTGATCCAGTCCTTTCAGATTGTGTAATGAGAACAGACGCGGACAAAAGCGAAACTGAAGCGCATTGTGCAGAATTCAGTGTGAACAGCAAAAAAAAACAGGCTCTCGTCAACAGCCTCTGACCTGAAAAGACAAGCAGTTCGACATCATACGAGAAGACAGACGCTGACAGAGCGCAACCAGGCTGGTTCTGGATAATTTTATCACTGTCCTAGTTCTCCTCTCACTTCCCAGTGAGACGAATGACCCAGCTCATCCTGCTCTAGGATTACAGTAACCCTTCACTTGCCACACACACACAAGATCTGTCAGATGAAGAGCAGAAACTACAGGAAAATAAGTCAAAACTAGGTGGTTCTGGGCCGTTGCCATGGAGTTGCTAAAGTTTTGTGAGTGCCAGGGTTGCCAGGGCGTTGCTATGCAGCTGCTAATGTGTTGTGAGTGGCTGTTAGGATGTTGCTATATGGTTGCTAAGGCGTGGCTGCAATGTGTTGCCATGCTGCTAGAATGTTGGGTGGTTGCTAGGGCGTTGCTATGCAGCTTTAATGTATTGCCAGGATTCTAGAATGTTGTTTGGCTACCAGTGTGGTTGCTTTGCAGCTGCTAAATTGCTATGTGGTTGCAAAGGAGCTGCTTCAGTGCTTCAAAGGTGCTAGGTTGTTAGAATGTTGGGTGGTTGCCAGGGCGTTGCTAAGCAGATACTAAAGTGTTGTTTGTGCCAGGGCTGCTGGGGTGTTTTATGCAGCTTCAATGCTTTGTAAGGCTGCTAGAATGTTACGTGTTTGCCAGGGTGTTGCTATGTAGCTGCTGGTAAAGTGTTGTGAATGCCAGGGTTGCAAGTTCCAGGGTGTTGCTATGCAGCTGCTATAGTGTTGTGAGTGCCAGGGTTGCCAGGGTGTTGCTATGCAGCTTTAATGCAATGCCAGGCTTCAAGAATGTTTGGTGGTTGACAAGGCATTGCTATGCAATTGTTATAGTGTTGGGAGTGGTTGCTGGGATATTGCTAAGGAGTTGCTTCAATGCATTAAAGGCTGCTAGAATGTTGGGTGGTTGCTATGCAGCTGCTAAAATGTTGTGAGTGGTTGTAAGGATGTGGTTCCTACACATTGAGTTGCCTCAATGTGTTTCTAGGCTACTAGAATGTTGGGTTGTTGCCAGGGTGTTGCTATGCAGCTGGTAAAGTGTTGTGAGTGCTAGGGTTGCAAAGGTGTTGCTATGCAGCTTTAATGTAATGCCAGGCTTCTAGAATGTTGGGTGGTTGCCAGGGCGTTGCTATGCACCTGCTAAAGTGTTGTGAGTGGTTGCTAGGATGTTGCTAAGGAGTGGCTTCAATGCATTTTCTGGCTGCTAGAATGTTGCCAGTAGTGACGTCACACCTGAGGAGCGGCGATACTGAGAGCTGCGTTGCTCAGCTCCATCTTGTCCTGTGATTTCTCTCTGGCCAGACGTGCAGCTTCCCTCACCTCTTTAAAACGTTCGGCAAACTGCAACAAAAACACATAATGCTGTATTATATAAGGGGTGATGCAAGTATTTCCAATCATGTCTGTGCAAAACTATATTATGTTGGTTTTTATCCACCGTCTTAATCTCATTTGAAGCATTTGCATTCATGCATTTGCACAAAGACAACACATTGTGTGTCGTTTCTCTGTAAACGGGCCATTAAAGATGTTCACACCTGGTGCAGCTGCTGCTCTGTGGCGAATCCAAGGCCGTAGACGGTGTTCGCTCTACTGTCCGCCCACTGACCGAACTTCTGAGACGTCTTAGTGAACGTCATGTTGTGGCTGATCGTGCTGTTGATGATCGCCTACCAAAAGAGAGGACGTAAATCACAGAACATTCTGAATAAGCACCCATTTAAAAGAATACAGAAGGGATAGTTCACCCAAAAATGAAAATAGTTGACGGTAGCCATTGACTTCCATAGTATGCAAAAAAAATACTAGGCTATAGAAACTGTCTGGTTACCAGCATTCTTTAAAATATCTTCTTTTGTGTTTAACAGAAGAAAGAACCTCGTACAGGTTTTGAACAACTTGAGGGTGAGTAACATATGACAATATCCCTTTTAAAAACGTCAAAAAACGCCTTAAAATCTGGTCACTTTTACACAATACGTGCAAGAATATCAGAAAGGTTTGTGATGCAACTATCTGTAAATCACTGTTTACATAGAGCAAAACATAAACAGTATTCCCACCTCAACAGGATGATTTAGAAACATTACGGCTCAAATAACATCTATTTTTAACGACAACATCTAACCTCTAATAGACCAGCATTGAAAGTGCAATACTGTAAACACAATTTATGCTTGTTTATGCAAAACGTTGATATTATTTTGTGCTGTTTGGGACAGTATTTGAAGACTAAGTGTATATAAACAAGTTACATAAATATTAATAAATAAAAAACTGTAGCACAAGCTGGTGTAAGTGTTTCCAGCAGCTTTAAATAGAAGATCAGTAACACATACTGAAGCCTAAACCGCAGTCGTTCAGGTTAACAGTCTGACTGGAGCCACACTTATGACCCCCGAGAGAGTGTAAAACATGAAATCTAATAACTGTGAGAGACTGTGACGATAAACACTTCATATGACATGTTGAATCAATGTATCATAAACATCTAAAATGTCCCATGTTTTTATTAAAACCAGAACAAACCAATAAAGCTGCACAAAGATGATCACAACAACTCAAGCCATCATGATGAAGCAGTAATACAACTAGAGAGACCAAGAGACGCTTATAAATGATGTTTCAAAAAATAAATTGGATGGTTCTGTCAAATGTAATTTATTTCTGTGATCAAAGCTGAATTTTCAGCATCATTACTCCAGTCTTCAGTGTCACATGATCTTCAGAAATCATTCTAATATGCTGATTTGCTGCTCAAGAAACATTTCTGATTATTATCAATGTTGAAAACTTTTTTTTATCATATTGCAAAAACAAAAGAGGACATTTACAAAAGAGGACATTCACCATGATAACGGTGTTGCAGCTCCTCTGCTTTGTGTCGTAGCATGGCTTATGGAGTCTCTCATAGCTTATTGTTTTATTCTCTCTGGTTCTCTAATGACTTGCCCAATATTTTTGTGGAAACTGTGATACATTTTATTTTTCAGGATTTACAGATGAATAGAAAGTTCAAAAGAACTGTACCACAAACTTACAAACTTTAATATACTGTATGTAGACATTATTTTTCAGGATTCTCTAATGATTTTGATTAATTTAATGCATCCTAGCTGAATAATAATATTAATTTCTAAAATAAAAAAAAAAATAAATAAAAAAAAAATATATACTGTGTATATATGCATACACACACACACACAGACAGTTAAGATACTAAATTAATAATACAGTTAAGATAAAATATACAGCAGCAATGATGATTCTATTATTATTTTAAAAAGATTTATAAATGTCTTTGAGTCTCTCATAGCTTATTGTTTTATTCTCTCTGGTTCTCTAATGACTCATGTTCCTCCTGACAGCAGGAGTCATGTGACTGCAGATTACCACGGTGACCGCTGGAATCATGGATGCACTGGACTCGTGATAGTGAGGTCATCCTGAATCCAAATGTGGGTCAGTTTAGAGGTGTTAGATGAAGCCGAGACACTCCGGTAATCCAGCAACAACTGAGATTTACAGGCTTCGGTGAGGACAGTCTGCTCCATTCAGGAGTTTAATACGAATGCTGATATCATTATACGAGATGCAGTTCAGAGAGGTGAAGTTCAATACCAATGCATGAGATGTATTTACAGTAACAATACACATATTAGAATGATTTCTGAAGATCATGTGACACTGAAGACTGGAGTAATGATGCTGAAAATACAGCTGCGCATCACAGGAATAAATTACATTTTAACAGATATTTACATAGAAAACTGATATTTTGAATTGTAATAATATTTCACAATATTACTGTTTTTACTGGATTTTTTATCAAATAAATTTAGAAGAGACTTTTCAAAAACATTTTTATTTCTTTAATTATTCCAAACTTTTGACCGGTAGTGTGCATCGTTTTCAGATTTATCTCTAGAACATATTTCCACCTCGGAATAAAAACAAAGGTAATTGCGAATTTTTATCTCACAATTCGAACTTTACATCTTGCAATTCTGACATTTTTCTCAGAATTACAAGATATAAACTCAGATGCCAGATATAAACTTATTTCTGACTTTTTTCTGACGCCACGGAATAAAAATAAAAAAGGTAATTGCAATTTTTTTTTTCTTTTTCTCGCAGTTGGGATTTTTTATATCTCACAATTTGGTCTTTTCTTATATAAACTGGAAATTCTGAGAAGAAAAGACCAAACTGAGATATATACTCAGAATTGCGAGATATATCATTTAGATCTCACAATTCTATGTTTATGGAACTGTGAAATTAAAAAGTTGCAATTACCTTTTTTATTTTTATCCTGTGTCAGAAACAAGCTTCCATGTTAATCTGAACAGCTCGTACAAGCAAAAAACAAACGGTCATCGGTCACTTCACATGTCAATCAGACGCTCTCTTCCGGTCTAAGTGGGCGGTGCTTGACCAGAACAATCTGCAAACTGTTTCTAAGAGACTATGGTAACGACTCGAGGTCTCCTGTGTGCTGCTGTCTTTCCTCCTGAGTGCTCAACACTTCGCTCAGTGTCTCCGCTCGAGCGGTTAGACAGCTCTGATTCGCTCCATCAACGAGTATCGATTATCCCGACAGGATGCAAGTCATGCAGCTCCGGAGTTTTCCTGCACTCAACTCTTCTCGTTCGCTCTGATATCAGGTGTTGAGGTATTAACCTTCACTTCAGTGTAAATCCCCTCGCGGGGAGTACTTTGTTCTGGCTCTAATCACATGGACTCAATAATCACCATCTGAAAGCTTGTAGCTGACGGAGATGTTTATTACGTTACGCCTCTGCAGTCGGATGGATTTCCTGGCATGTTGCACTGATGATAACCACGAGAGGCTTTCTGCAGAACCTGCGGCACAATGCTAGTATGCAGTATGTGCAACATGAGTACAGTATGCACATGCATCGAATAGCATGATGACACACATTTGACAAAATATGCAATAAACAACCAGAGAACATTAAGTGCAATACAGTTTCTCACTATGCAATGCACTCGATTTGAACTTCCATTCCCAGTGTGAATAAAAATGAAGCTGCATCAACTACAACCTCCCTCTTGACTCAATAATTAGTGTTAAAATTAACATTCAATAATATTATTGATTTAACTGCACTGACACTATTTTCATACATGATGAATTTTGCAATGGATTATTGAACCGGTTTGTTTCATCATTTATTAACTTTGCAACATTGACGCTGTTATTAACCTGAATTGAATAAACTTTGAACTAAATTGAGCTGAATTGTAATAATAATAAACCTAAAATGAGAAGGGTCTAATTTCATATTTCTATGTGATTAGAGCATACACATGATGTCTCGTGTTATGGAAGTATTCAACTCCTTTTATTATTTAAAATGCAATATTGTAGAATTTAATTGATTTAAAAAATCACAGTTATACTTCCAGTTTATCTGTCACAGTGGAAAAGGAAGATCAGATATCTCACACGTTATTCTGAACATTTTGTCAGTTGTCATAGATCATCTAGGTATTTAATGAAGTGAGGAAATCTGCATACTGCAGAAACAGCATGATAATACGCTATTCTGAATCTTTAAATGTACAGTTGTTGCAGATATTCCAGATCTTTTAACGTTTCTTCTATACAGCATTTCTTAGAGGGTTATACATATGAATTGAGGTTGATGCACCAGAACTATGAAACACACCAATGCTCAGATTCCCAACCTGCGCACCAGACCAAACGTGCTGTAAAGCAGAGGAGAAGCCGCTCGCTCACCTTGGTCCCGCCCACGCTGATGATGCGGTAGGCGTGTCTGTTGGCGTCGTAGAAGAAGGAGACGGTGACCGCATGCTTGCTGGCCGGGATCCAGTTGCGTTTGGTGGCGGGATCGATCTGGAACACATGAGCTCGAGTGCTGAAGATGGGCTGTTCCCTGCGACACACACAAACACACACGACATGAGTGCGTGTTCAGAAAACAACACGACTGAACTCAGCTCAGGCTGAACATGCAAACTAAGAAATCTGGGATTCAAAACATACACCTGGAAATACACAAATAGAATAAATAGAAAAGAAATATTTCAGATTCTGCACTATTCTAGGCCTATTATTTTACAAATAATTAACTAACTATTATTATCAAATTAATAATAATTTAATAATACATAATATTAATTTTTACAATGTTTTCAAACTTTTTAATTTTAAGAGAAATACTACTAATTTAATATAACATATATAATTAATAATAATAATAGTGGCTATAAACTATTAAAATTAATCAAATATTATTATTATTATTTAATTAAGAATTTAAGTGAAATACTTCTGCTTATATATATATATATATATATATATATATATACACATAATTAATTCTTAATAATAATTAAAATAATTGTAATAACTTATCAATAATAATACATTAATGAATTTAATAACATATATTAAGTTAAATAATGCTAGTATTACTAATATTTTTTTGTTATAATTTAATATTTTTACATTTAATAATATTTTAAGAATGTATATAATATTACTAATTATGTATACTATTAATATTATTAATCAAATATTTTATTATTATTATTATTACCTTAAATATTAAGTAAAATACTAATACTTGTTACTAATACTACTTATTATTATTATTATTATTAATAACCTTACTGGAAAGACTGAAAATATCACTTTTTAAACTTCTTTAATACTCAACTCGTTTTGGATGCAGAGCACCGTCACGCAGTAAATGGATCTGCAAGGAAACAAACTGGGCTGCAACCGACAACTACTCTGACAATCTGTTGATTATTTCAACAATTAACTGAATAATTGTATAGTTTGTCAATAAATATTTTAAAAGCCTGTAGCTTATGAAATTCAAAAGAGTGCTGTAACTGACAAATGATGATAACGAGAGAGGAATGAGCTGTAAACGATCAGAGAAATGAACTGATGCTGTACCTAACACCTCATGACGGACTGAATCTGAAGCTTCAATCTGAAGTCAATATGGCAGCTGAAGCGCTTCGGTCAAACTGTGTGTTATGGACGTCTAACAGCTCAAAGGTTTTCTGACCCGCGACAGCTTCATTTTTAACCTCTGTACTTTTGGTCATTGCTACAGTAGCACAAAAAATCATTAAAAAAAATATATAATTTAATAACCCAGAACTCTCAAACACAGAAAATTAAAAATTAAACAAATAATTCTGAACCTAGCTTTATCTAACGTTCAGATTTCTGTTCTGGAAATGTATGCAAAATGCATGCATATTTAATTAGATAATGCCTCATTTGTATTAAGAAATAACATAACATTAAGAAAACAATCTTTAATTTGGTTGTTCATGAAGCTACAACTCTTATTTTTTCTTTCTTTCTTTGTTTTTTAAACTATTTTCAGAATGACCATATTCAATATATTTTTCATGCATTATTAGCTGAAGAACACATTCATTGCTCATAAATATTAAGCCGTATTTTTTGGTTTAAACTTTAAATAATTAATTTGCAATATTTGTTGGCCAAAACAATATTTTGGAGACCCACAATACCAAAAAACATCC